AAGATTTAAGTTAAATGTAAAGTGTTGACGAGGGGAAATTTACGAAAAATTTCTTTCCATATGCTAAAAATAGATTTTGTTGATGATACTCATAGATCCAAAGATTACATTTAGGGCTATTTGAATTAAGAATAACTGATTTGTTATTCACATAAACCCAGAATCAGCACCAGTGCTCACATGGCTTCACCAAGTCACAGAATTTAGGACCCACAGAAACTGCATCATGTAAGATATCTAGCACTGGCCCTCATTAAGGCTTAAGTATAATAAATAACTAAACTAATACAATTCAGGCTTAATTATCTCAGTGCACGATAGAAGCAAGATAAAATTTAACAGAACAACTCATCGTTAGTCGCCAAGCTCATGATGCATAGCCAAATATGTACAGTCAAAAGTCGTTGATCCGGACTCGTCAGGACTTCGGCAATTCCGGATTATCGATTTTTCCGGATTATAGATCATCAGTTTAAATCTTTTAAGATGGCATGCAGAAATTACAAAATTAAAAATATGAAACCGTAATTTATGAAATAAGCATTATATTAAGGGTATCAAATTACAAGAAAGTCTTTATTGTTTACTTATAACTTCTTTCAGTAGTTTTTAGTTGCTCGCTGCTAAATTTCAAATTTCAACAAATTTCTTTTGTTAAAGCCTGTCAGTGGCGGTACAGCAGTTGTACAGGAGAATGACTTTCTCAGACGCCGGCATCGGTACAACTGTCGTACCATCCATGCCCTCCCCATTTTAGAGAATCGCCTATCTGTAGATCTTTGGGTGGTCCATTGTCGCTGCTCAGAGTAGCCGCTGGCTACGCATTATTTCCCTCTTCTTATCAGTTTAGCTACATTTTGGCAAAAACCGCAGGTTTCGTCTCGCGCCAATATACTTGAAAATTAAATAGAGGCCATCTCTTTCTCAATCTGTCTCATAATTTTAATGCTATTTTTTTAGTACTGACTTTTGCTATGATTAAAACGTCAGCGATTTTGCACGCTCTTTAAGCTTACCATATTTAATGTTCTTTAATCATAACAAATAAGAATAGATTAATATTTTAGATTTAATGCCCTTCTAGAAAATAGGTAAAACCGCTTTTATCGTTTACTTCCTTTTCATACTTATGAATAATAAGATTTTATTTTGACATTTTTTGTGGAGTGCATAAAACCCTTAAGAACTGTTAACTCTTTCAAAGTGCTTCTATTATGCAGGCAATTTTGTCTGATTTATCAGGAGATAAATAAGAGACAATTGTATGCATAATAGTTTTTGTGATTTTCATTCATTCAGTGATTGCTTTCAATGATTTTCATTGATTGTAAATTAAATAAAATCAATTTATCTTTAGACCCTCTTTTAGGATGAGATCTGCCAAAAAGTATTTAAATATCAGTAAAGCTCACGTTACTTCTAAACTGAATCAAAACATCAGTTACATTGTATAAAATTTCGGCCAGTTTTATTTGCTGAAATTCTTATACTCTTCAAGAGATAAGAGAATTCAGACAAGTTTAAATAAAAAAATATCTTTAAAAAAGTTGTTATTTTGTCTGTAATAAGGTGTATGTCAACTTACTACTAAATGTATGAAAATTAGGATTGGATTACGGAAAAGCACGCGAACGCTATCTGCTTAAGGGGATGGATGCTATCGTGTAAACCTTTTTAAGAGAAAATTGCTCGCATTTACATTCCTGGTGGAAAACTCCACATGTAATCAACCCGTTCTTTGGCATTGATTGGATTAATTTTGTTCGCTTACTGAATTACATCAAAGCACACAACGATTACCTGTATAAGGGGAGTTATGCCTTCGCGGAGGACTTTCTAAGAGAAGCTGGCTTGCATTTACGTTACACAAAAACCATGAATCCAACTATTTATCCGGGATTCAAATCCAAGCGAGCTACAAGTGTTCAGCCACCTTTACCGCTCTTACTGAAGAGCCCGTAAAAATATTGATAAAGGAAAAGTATTGAAATAACCGGTTTAATTTACTAACCTATATTTCTCAATCGACAGTACATAAATTACGCATATGAGGGGGATTATTTGTGAATAAATAAACTGTATTGCACTTTTCTCCACTATTTCATATTACAATGGAATTATTGCATTTCAAAGTTATTTCTCATGAATTAATTTTGCTCTTCATGATTTTTGATATTTTCAAAGAGAAAATTCCACACTTTAAATAAAAAAATACACGAGAAGATACTTTATGCAAAATTTGGCGTAAACGGTTTTTTCTTAATTTTGCTTTGAAAATATTGCAGGGTAATCGTTTTCATTACTGGAAGAAATATAAAAAACAAGATTTACTACATTGTATGTCAACACCCAATATTTCCTTATTCTTTTGAAAACGTGAAAGATTACTCTTTCTAAAATAAATTAGAAAATATATTATGTGCAAATAGAATATTCGTTGAAAATGAAATAGACTTCAACCTTTGGATATAACGATGGTTTTAGACGAAATTTCTACCTATGGAAAGAAATTGACGTATAATTAATTCTTCATGAACATTTAAAACTGTTCTCAAAATTCTTTTGATGATTGCATGTATAAGGTCACGGATTTTTTTCTCTGCTAACATAAACAAAAGCCAATTTTACAAAGAAAAATTCTCGTTAAAGATATACCTTCTTTGCCTGATAGTCCAATGTAATATTTGTTAAAATTAAATGATTAAACGCAACCAATGTATCTCGGATTTTGATTTGTATATTATAATAACAAAATTATCGAAAAAAGCAGATTTAAATCTCTGTTATTGTTATGTAAAGCTTTATTATTGCTGTAAGTTCATCTCAAAATCTATAATTGTATTGAATCTCATTCTAATCATCTAATGGTAATAAATATTATTATTTTCATTAAATTAGTCATTACCAGTATTTTATTAATGAAAATATGTTATTAAAAATCGCATTCCGGCCTGCAGACTTACAAATCTAGTTCGTATTTACTATATTTTGTTAAATTTTGTTCTCGCTTTCTAATTTCTAATACGAAAATACGCGAATATAAATGAAGAGTGAAAACAAAGTTAAAAAATTCACAAATTATTTACGAGATTGATTAGAAATAGTGAGTGAAATATAAACATTGCATACATTTTGTTCTAAATAAAGTGTGCACTGGATATGCATCCAGTACTGCATATTTATTTATGCACTATTTATTTAGAACTTCATTTAAATGAAAGCAAAATAATCATCGAAAAAATTGCAAATCTAGCAACCCTCTACTATGGGACGTAAGCGTCCGACAAACATGTAAATTTTACTTCATCCATGGAGGGGAACTAACGACTTTTCTCATTAGGAAATTGTCAAAGAGGGGCAAAACTGTTTCGGATCGCGCCGGTCTGAAGGCTATATTATGAGAATTTCGGTCCGATTTTAGAAGATTAACAAAATTGTAGTAGTTTTTCTTGCAGCTATTTTATTTCTATTAGAACATTTCAATGTGCATTAATTTTTCGAACTCTTTATGTAACAGGAGAAAGTACTATAACATTTTTTACTGTAGGCATTCCAGTTGGAAGATTTAGCTGTTTAGAAATAGAAAAAACATTTTAGTTTCTAAACGTGATATTTTTCTGAAGAAAACTATGCCTGCTACACCCTCAGCAATAATATCCCGATATCTTTTGCCTATTATCTTGAGCCTTATTAGAAGTAAATGAAGGTACTTTCTGATTATCTGCATCTCACTGAAAGTTGTAAATTTGTTTGCTAAATCAAAATACAGATAATACTAAATCTAACATCTGAATTACAGCTAGTTAACTAACAACAACTCATCTGAATCAGTTGCCAAGGCATATGAGGAGTGCACTTGGTCATATCTCACATATCATCTGAGCTATTTTCAAAAATTTAGGCATTGCTACCGTCAGAACCAAAAATTCAATAACTTCATATTATATATATACATACACACACACATATATATATATGTATATATATATAATGGATATGAGAGATTAATTGTGGTGCTATAACTCGGAAAGGCTTTTCTCTGTAGGTGGAAGGATGACACTTGTAGACAGACATAATTGTAGATTTAACATAGTTTTATTATTAGATGAACTTAATTCTTAAGACTTATAATTTGATTCATATCACTATGAGTCCTGTATGCACCCCATATTTTTGAAGACTTCAGACAATGGGGGATACAGACAAGTGATTGTGATCTAAATGGTATCAAAATTAACCAAAAAAATAATAATAATAATATTTATTTGTTTACTTTAGTAAACAAATAATAATAATATTTATTTGTTTACTTTAGTAAACATTTCTTTCAATGCGTTAAGTTCCTTCGTTTTTTGTGCTAAACGTGCATGCGTAAACATATGCTAGTAAGAGTAAAACAAAAGCAAAAAGGCCCTATACATTCAGAAGTATGAGATATAGAATCAAAAAGTTTCGGTTCTAAGAATGATGTGGATTAATTTTGAAATTATGTACTTTAGATTAATGTATATTATAAGTAGTTACTGTTTTTAGGATAGAAATGGGAAGAAACCAAATTAAAATGAAGGATAAAAGGGACTATTGCTAATTAGAAGTTTGTTTTCATATTTTTTAATCTCTCTCTCTCTATATATATATATAGTATGATGCCACCACAAAAACAAGTGAATAAATATCTAAGTAAATTGATGACAATGTTATAAAAATGCAATAATTTGCATTAATATTGCATTTTAAATATGTAGAGATATATGCAACAATATTATATAAAACTTTAGTACTCTCTAGTTAAACCTTTTCTCTTACTGTCAGCCTTTGGATATGCAGCATAGTTTTTCTGCTGCATAGACCAAGAATGTGGTACTAGACAAAAATTTTAATTTATATCAAATTTCTATGTTGAAGTGTTCACAAAGCTATTTTATACACGGAATTGTGATATGCATATAAATGCATATTTATGATTTTTATATTTTAAGTTTTTTTTATTGCAATTTTAGGTAAAACAAATTATGGAAGAAGCAGTAACTAGAAAATTTGTTCATGAAGAAAGCAGCAGTATCACTTCCTTATGTGGTGTGTATCAATACTTTTCTTTGTGTTTTTATTCTTTGCATACTATTTTGTGGTTGTAATTGAAAAGAAATTATGATTTTTATAATATTTTAAGTTATTAAAAGATTGATGTGTTTTTTTACATTGAGAACTTTCTTCAAAGGACTTTCGTGAGATAATATTTGTTACATGTATGTACATATATTTCGTGCTGTTATCACCTATATTTTCTAAAATTCTTAAAAAAATGTTCCACAAAAGAGATACTTTTCACTCCTGTGTTTAGTAAAGCATTGAAAGAATTCCATTCAAAAAAGTTTGAATATTTGGGAGTGAAAACGTTTTTTAATTACTACCATATTTAATTGAATATGAGAGCCTTTTTCTTTCATCTGGGTTGATTGACATCTCTGACCCACAGCATCTCTACTTACTTTAAATTTTTCTGCTTATTTTATGTCTCTCTTTTTTGAGATTTATCTTGATGATCTCATTAGGAAAAGAAAATTTTTGTCTACTACTAAAATGTCTCTTGCCATAAAGTTTGTCACCCTTTTCAGTTAAGGCTTTCCAAAACTTTCACTGACTCTTTTATCATATTCCTGCTTATGCATATTTACCAACACGTGATGACTTTTAAATTTTACTGCCGACTCAATAAAACTTTTCTAGTGTACGAGGGTTTCTTAACTTTGGAAAATCTTGGATATGTGGCAATAACCTGGTTAATGTCATCTGAAAAAATTCTGCATTGTTTTTTTTTTTTTTTTTCCCTTCCATATAACAAATTCATCACCTGTACTTTTCATGGAATTAAATCATTTAGCTCATCTGCCCTACCATGAAGTTTTGCTTCCAAATTAGTTTTATCTTGAACCGTGGGAAATGCCTGCAAAATTGCATTTTTAAATACACCCTCATACCCTGGTCCATCTAGCAAGTATTTTCCAATACCTTCCTATCAGTTCGCATTTTGCGCTTCTCCAATCAGGTATGCTAAAAAATAGATTTTTAAGCTGTCTAAAAATGTCAGGACCAGTAGAATCCTGGAAGCTCAGTCTAAAAGTTATGTTCTGTTACAATATGGTTAGTAATAGAGTTAAGCTCCAAATGTAGGGTTCTTTTCTCAGAGTCTTATCTCAATGTTCTGCACAGCCTACTAGACTGGGAACTGAGTTGTTGGTTTAGTCTGAAGCAAAATTCCGGATTATAGGTAATAAAAGAGAACAAATAAACTTTTTATTTATCTCTTAGATGAATAGAAAGCAGTAATTGTGCTACAGATGAACCTCGATTGCTTGTGGATATTTAAATTAATATGAAATAAAGTCCTTTTCAAATGTAAATCACATAATTTCAGACTATACACACAGAATACTACTTGGCTCAAGATATTAGCAGTGCATATTTTAAATGTCTGCTCACGAAATGCTAAAGCCGGAATAACTTTAGAAGAGCTGGTGATAGTACATATCTGCAAAGTAAAACTGCTAGAAGCTCTAATCCTAAAACATCCAAACTCTCAGCTTAAGCATCTAGTAACTGTTTTGTATTTTGGTGAGGTCTATGGAAAGAAGTTAAAGTTTCACCTCATAATAACTTGTTAATTAACATAAAATCCTACAAATATTTTTAAATTATCATATTTATTATTATACGAAAGTCATGAATTTCTTAGTGTGATGACACAACTTTTAATGTTTTCTTGCTTACGAAATTGTCACTGTGGATTTAAAAATTCACTTTGCATACAATGAAGCTTCATAACAATGTACTGACATAGATGAACGTTTCTTGGCAAATCTCGTATAAGTCTGCAATCTTTTGTTGGCTTCCTTCCATGTAAATTTTTTGCTCTGCATGCCACCTTCATCTTCATTCTTCCCCTTTTCCTCATTATCTTTCTTCTCCTCCAATGCATGACCGATTATTTCGTTGTCATTCAAGAGTGTGAGATAGAAACCAGATTATCTTAATTCATCCAACTGTACTTCCTTTTCACTAATACAGTCAAAAGTCGTTAATTCGGACTCGTTGGGACTTCGACGAATCCGGATTATCGATTTTTCCGGATTATAGATCATCAGTTTAAATCTCGTAAGATGGCATGCAGAAATTATAAAATTTAAAATATGAAACCGAAATTTATGAAATAAAGAACAATTATGATCTAAAGTGTATCAAAATTTAAAAAAAAAAAAGCTTAATATTTATTTGTTAACTTTATTAAACATTTCTTTCAATGCGCGAATGCTTAACGCATAAATTACACATAGTCGAAATTAGAAAATTGCGACCAGAAAACTATTTGATGTGTTCTCGTGATATTTATAATGATGAGGAATTTGATTTAAATCATATCAAAGATGGAATACATCGAGATGAAATACTACATTTAGTAAGGAATTATAAGCTGAATAAAATAGAAACATCTGCCCTGAAGATAAGGATAGTGCTGACAGATCAACTTCCAGTTCATTGCGCGTCCCCCCCCCCCGCAGAGCAGCGTGAAATTGATAAACAGATTTCGGAATGGTTAGAGAAAAAAAGGATATGCCTTTATCCATTTTTTGCAGCAATTCCACATTTTGTTTGATGGACATCGAAACATACTTTCGCTTTGTAGATCCTTTGGGAGCTCCAGCATCGGAAATTCTATTTGACAAAATCGAAAGTTCAAGCTTACTTTTATAAAATTGCTCTTACTGTCTGCAAAAATATTAAGCCGGATCCAATTTGAAGATTAAGGAACAACGCAATCTAACTGATAGATAATTAGATAATTTTAGCTTATATCGTCCGTTATACATTAAACGCGCATGCGTAAACGTATTCTGCGCTTGCGCACACGCACAGTCGTATAGGTCTTACGCGCACGGCGCATGCACAGAAAGTTTTAGCTTTGAGGTCCAGATTATGGGTGTCCGAATTAACGACTTTTGACTGTACTACCATTTCTCTGAGCATGTAACTATATCTAAGATGTCAGCCATAGGCACCAAACTTTTAAAACTAAGAAAATCTTCTTCACTTGACTAGTATTCTTCTACAAGCAGGATCATAGAGAACAATTTATGCTAACATTGATGCAAAATGAGGTTTTTAACATCTTTCCAAGTAGGAGGCAAAGTAAATCTGGCATTTTGCAATGTGAATTGTTTCTGAAAATTATGGACACGGCTCTTCAAAGTTTACAGTTTGACACCTGAAAATGGATCTGTAGTTCATTTTTATATTCTAGATAATCCCTTGGTCCATTGATTGAATAAACTAGTTATTGGGCAACAGAAACATTGCATCAATGTTTTCTAGGGGCTCGTCGGGCCTTCGGCAATTCCGGAATAAGGGTTTTTCCGTATTACAGATCATCAATTTAAATCTGGTAAGATGGCATACAGAAATTATACAATTAAAAATATGAAACTGCAATTTATGAAATAAAGAGCAATTGTGATCTAAACGGTATCAAAATTTACAAAAAAAAAAAAAAAAACTTAATATTTATTTGTTTACTTTAGTAAACATTTCTTTCAATGCGTTAAGTTCCTTCGTTTTTTGTGCTAAACGCGCATGCATAAACATTAAATGAGCATGCGTAAAGCATACCAAAAAAAAAAGTCTGTGGCTTTGAGTTCCAGATTATAGATCATTCTGGATAATCGACATCCGGATTACAGACTTTGTACTCTATTAAAAGTTTACCAAAATTACATAATGAAATTAACTGAAAAACATAATGCATCTGAATAAATATCAATATACTTTAACACCAGAATCATATTATTAATATTTAAATAATATAAATCTTATATTATGATGGGAATTCAAACCAATTTTGTTCTTTTGGAATGGAATCATCATGTAGATTGTTTTGGAAACTCATAGTTTTTCATATTTCAAAGTTGGCAGCTGTGTGTTTTGTAGATATGTGACAAAACTATCGCTTTTATAAATGTTAATGTTGATGCTCAATCCACAAAGCTGAATGTAGCAGAGAAAGATTGCTAAGTAATCCAGATGAAATAAATGCTGCATTTTTGAATGTCTGCATGGCTTTTGTATTTGCTAAGCTGCATTTTGTATTTATTTGCAATCATATCATATGATGATATGATTCTGCAACATATTAAAGATTAGTAGTAGGTAGGAACATTGCAGCGAATTTGCTAAAAAGTTACCAGGAGCTGTAGCTCCACGAAATATTGTAACACAGTACTACATAAATAATAAGAAATTTGTCTGGAATAACTGGAAAAAACTGTAAATACGCGATAAAACTGCCAAATTTAGTGCTGGAAGACTTGCTAATGCACGAAAAAAATTAATTAATCTGACCGTTGTGAAATGTGAAAAGTTAACTCACATGAAAAATAGATCGACGTAAAAAAAAATATATATATATATAAAAGGAAGGTATAAAAAACATAGATTATAAAATGTCAACATATAAAATGCCTATACATAAAAATTAAAATTAAAATTAAAACTAAAAGGAAGACACAAAATGCATCAATACAATTTACAATAAACAAAAATTAAATAGCGGAAAAATGGTAAATTAGCAGAAAAATGGTAAATTAACCCACTCGTACTCTCAGTTGGCTTTTCAAGGGAAAAAAACTGTTTTACGAAATAGGTTAAATACCATTACGCGTTTCGCCGAAACAGACCATTGAAGCTCTTGTTTAATGCCAAAAAACTTTCATAAAAGAACATTAGTATTTCCGAAAAAAATTTTTTGGAATAAATCCTTTTTTGTAGCTCCACTGCTCTGTTCCTTTTTCCCGACGCGTCCGCTGAAAAACACATTAAGGTGTCAAAAGCTATTATAATTCCGAGCAATGTAAAATAAAAATCAAAATCAAAGTAGAAAAATAATATAAATAGCGGTCTGCTATTAGTCAAAAATCAACAACGTATGGGCTGGTCCTTTAAACCTTAAAGAATATGTAACTTTTATTAGAAGAATGGTGCTGTAAACAAATAAAAATGTAATCAATTTTGTAAGTAAAAAAACGTCG